CTGCACCTTGTTGTCTCGGATTCTCCAGCATCTGCAGTTCCTACTATCTCTAACCCTAATCATGAGCTAGTTCCCTGACCCTGCTGGGGGTAAGGTTCCTCTTGTTCCTGAGTTCCCAGCTGCATGGAACTAGCTCTTATTCTTACATTGTGTTTCCTGTTCCTTGACTCTGCCAATGCCCCATTGAATCCATCAAAAATTTTAAGCAGCTCTATCCAATCACCTTTCATCTTTTAAACTGAAGAGAATTCCAGCCAAATCTATGCATCTCACAAATGAACCAGTTTGCCTCTTGCTTTCTCTCTGCTGAATCGGCCTTGCTCATGTGTACTTCCTGGGGGGCCCAGAACTGAACACCGTCTCACCAAAGCCGTAACAAAGTTTCCATTCCCATGAAATCCCGTTTTATCCGCTAGAGTTCCCATGAGCCTTTCCGATTGCTTGACCTTTGACTGCAGACCGCAGGCTTTCCTCACTGGAGTCACCAGTAAAGGGTAAGAGAGAAGACCTCGTACTCCTAGCAACCAGTGGTGACATCCCCCGGAAACTCTGTATAATGTTGGTACAAACTGAAGACATTAAGACTGTTGTTGGAGGTTGCCCTCCATTTCACTGTGGGGCAACATCACTGGCTCCAAACGAATGGAGCTGAAGTCTTTCCACCCAATCTACAGGGCAATGCACAGTGGATCACAGTGTTATATACTTTCCATGCTCATACAATTAGTGATCTCCGGGGGAGGGGGCAAACAGATTAAAAGCCAATGTGGGTGTTGTAAGGAATCCCGCTTGTCATTAATGAGGCCTTAGCAGAGCAGGCTCAGTGATGGATCAGATGGCTTATCATTTCCTATGCTCTCACATGGAAGTGTCCCTGTGTTCAGTAGGTTGGTGTGACCGAACTAGTATGGTGAATATGGTGGGCTGGGGTGGATCTGGTAACGTAAAGGCTTTCCCAGGCATGGGAAGCGGCCGGTACCCTTGTTCGATCTTGCTGGGGGCCCTGGCTCTAGGGGATAGCACAAGATGAGCTTCCACAGGGCTTCCTCTGGAAGATGGCAGGATCTTCTCAGACAAGTAAGTGTCTCTAGGGGCTTGGGGGATAGGGAGTTCATTGGCCTGGTGACCTGACAGTTTAGGAAAGATGCCCAGTAGACTTTCTCCACTTCACCTTGGTGTGAACTCTCCCACCAACAACCCATCTGTGGGTTGGACAGAATTGGTGACTGAGGGGCTGGCACAGCACTAATGCAGGAGATCCGGGCACAGGGACACCCCCATGGTTCAAATGCACAGCAGCAAACAACAGATAAAACCAATGCAAAGTCAGCAATGTGCAAAGACAAGGCAAGGTACAAAAATCCAACCTCTGTAAGAGAAACAGTAAAAGAATCCTGGCTTTGAGACTGATGTTTGTCATTCAACTAACACAGAAGGCCCAGAGGTGCCCAATTTAAACAGGAAAGCTTTTCAGCTCACTTACACACGTTAGAAGCAGTATATATTCGTATGTAAGACCCTGCCCTCTGCTATCAGAAAGAATATATCCAAGCATTGTGCCTCTGTCAATTAAAACAATACTTGTGGGAAGCCATTCCTTGGTGCATTCCCCATGGCAACACTCCTCCCAATCAGAGTCCACTTTCCAACCAACCAGAACCCTCTTCTTATGCGGTATAAATTGTTATATCCTTTGAGATTTGGTATTCTTGCCATTCTGTCCTGATGAATGTAAGCTCCAACAGTGTGTCCCCTTTTCAGAAAGTTTCCCTTTAAAAAATTCTCTCACATGATGTGGGCATTGCTGGCTGGGTCAGCATTTGCTGCCAATCTGTCCCCAATTGCCTTGGCAAAGATTGTGGTGAGCTGCCTTCTCAAACTGCTGCAGTCCTACAGCTGTGGGGCTAGTGAAGGGTCAGGGATAAAATGGGTGAGTTCCTCTCAAGAAAGCAGAGGGTACACACAAGCCTGTGGGCAGCCTCAACAAAGGAATTTTGAGTCTTGCCCGTGGGGGAACTGGGAGCCTGGCAGTGTGGCCGCTTAGTTTCCTTGTGATATAATGTGGTCACATATTTCCCAGCCCCATAACAGAATTTGACTTCCGAGGTATGAAGGAGACACAGGGGCCTGCGATCGTTTGGGATGAGTGAGAGCCATGTAGTGGAGACAGAGCCCATGGCGTCATTCTGCCCTGGACTTTTTCCCATTAAAACAAATCTATTTCTTTGTTCATCTTTTCTATGGGTGCAGATATCAATTCCAGCTTCATTAATGATCCCAATGTTTCCTTGTCCAATCAAATCTCTCCGTTTCACAATCCAATGAACCCCTCACCGTGTGGCAGCCAATTAAGTCCATCGCCGCGCTGCCTCGGCCAATGAAATCACCTTCGATATGCTATCCCCCAATAGGAAGCCAGTGAGGCTGTCTCTAATTATTTCTCCAATTGAGCATTGAAATAGAGCTATTTGATTCTCAAGTAGGTAATGAGGTTCTTGAGTCTTACTCCAGTCCAATTCTAATCAAATTCTGTCTTTGTCTAGCACTCACTGCCCTTCCCTCCCCTTGTCTTCCCTCCTCCCTCACCATCATTCAACTCTCCACCCTCTGTTCATCCACAGCTCCCTACCACATCCTGCCTACCCTCCTCGCCGCCACCACCACCCCCAACCCACTCCACCCTGGGGTCATTGCCCAGGTAAGACATCACCTACTTGATATTCTCCAGCCTGCTGGAGTCTGGCTTCAAGGAGCTGCTGCTTCGTATCATCTTGTGAAGGGTAATCATCAGAAAAACCAGGTTCATCTGCCGGGACAAGGAGAAACACAGGACGTCACATGAGCATATGAACAAGGCGCAGGAGTAGGCCTTTCAGTCCCTTGAATCTGCTCCACCATTTAGTAAGGTCATGGCTGCTCTCATAGTAATCTCAAATCCACATTCCTGCATATACCCCGATAATCTCATCCACTCGGAAAACAGGAGCAGGAGTAGGCCATTCGGCCCTTTGAGCCTGCTCTACCATTCAATATGATCATGGCTGATCATGCAGCCCAGTACCCTATTTCTGTTTTCTCTCCATTCCCTGTGATCCCCTTTAGCCCTAAGAACTCCATCTAACTTCTTCTTGAAAACATTCAGTGTTTTGGCCTCAACCGCTTTCTGTGGCAGAGAATTCCACAGGCTCCCCACTCGCTGGGTAAAAAAATTCCTCATCTCAGTCTAAAATGGCCTATCCTGTATCCTTGGACTGTTACCCCTGGTTCTGGACTTCCCAGACACTGGGAACATCCTTCCTGCATTGACCCTTACCTAACAAGTGCCTATCCACTTCTGCCTTAAAAATATTCAAAGACTCTGATTCCACCATCTTTTCGGGAAGAGAGTTCAACAGGGAACAAAAATGTGCTCATCTCTGTTTTAAATGGGTGACCCCTGATTTTTAAACAGTAGCCCTTAGTTCTTGATTCTCTCGTAAGAGGAGACTTCCTCTCCACATCACCTCTGTCAAGACCTGTCAGGATCTTATCGATTTCAATCAGGTCCTCTCTTACTCCTCAAAACTCCAGCCCAGCCTGTCCAACCTTTCCTCATGATCCACACATTCCAGGTATGAGTCTCGCAAGTATAGACAGAAACACTGGAGAAACTCAGTAGGTCTGGCAGCATCTGGGGAGAGAGAAACAAATTTCAAGTCCAGTGACCCTTCTTCAAAACTGAAGAGAGAGGTGGAGAAGTGGATAAAGCCCATCACTGTTCTACTTCTCTCATCAGTCTCACACACATGTAGATACACATGGACAAGTAAATATGTACCCACATGTAGATGCAAACATACACATGTAAATGCACACGTGTGCTTATGTACCTGGATAAACATGTGCACACATATGTAGATGCACACACACATAGATACACAGACAAGTAGATGCACACGTGTGCAAACAGATAATAGCAAAATTTGCACTTACCATAATAACAAAGGAAACTGGTCCAATAAAACTCCAGATAAAGTAGTTGTCCACTCGGAGCCAACATCTGAGTATGGAGGAGGAGGGAGATTAAGAGAGATTGGACCAGACCGTGTTGGGTGGGGTAGGGGATGGGGGGGAGGGGTGCAAGGGTTGAGATAAACAAATAAAAAGGAAAACAAATGGATATTGGGAAGAAAAACCAACAGTGGGAATGATAAATGGAGGAAGAAAGCAAGGGAAAGCATTAGCTCAATGTGTTAGACGGAGTGAAACAATGTTGGTGATAAATGTGGTACAGTCAGCCTCATTAACTGTCTTTGCATTGGTGATGGATACTCCCACCTTAAATATCAACCCTGACAGGGTGCAGAGACATTTATCAGTGAAACAGAACATTGAAGCCACAGCTTATCATCTGGCAATGCTGTTCTTCCTGGAAGATTAAAGGAGAATGTTACTCAGGGGATGGAAAACCCAGTTAGATGTGACTCATTCCAGAAGGCTGTAAAACCTGTTACTTAAAGCAGCAGCTTCCAGTCAGGAGGTTTTTATCCCACTTATTCACAACATTTCTAAAAGGACTGTTCAGAACATTTCAAATTGAACATTATAGATAGTGGAGTAAAATTAAACTATTGTCCACACAGCACAATCTACTCTCAGGTGTGTCAACACAATTTCAATTGTCTTGATAGTTACAATATACATTCTATGTCAGGCACACAGCTGGAGGGGTTCTAACCCTTGTTCTCACTACAGCTGAGGAATCCTGTTTGTTACTCATACTGCGTGTTACTCACTCTGTGTTTTACTGTCGCCATGTATTACTCACCCGATAGCACACTGAGTTATTCTCTTTGGATATTGCACGCCTTGTGGCACACTGTATTACTCTTGCCATGTGTTATTTGTTCTGTGGTACATTGCATGTTATTCTCGCTGTGTGCGTTACTTGACCTGTGGTACACTGTGTGTTACTCTCGCAGTGTGTGTTACTCGCCCTGAGATACATTGTGTGTTAGTCACCCTGTGATCAACAGTTACTCTCTCAGTATCACCCAGACACACAGTATTAATCCCACAGAGAGAGGGCAAAATACCATCTGCTTAATAAGACTTGGTTTCCGTGAGCTTTTCCACTTTACAAAAACCTGCAGCACTTCACTGAGTCCACACAGCTCAAAGATTGTTATTTCAAAAGCTTAAATAGGCTCTAAGTATGTACAATTTCCTTGCTGTTTCCTTGGCAACAGCAATTTGAAAGCACTGTTGAGGGCCAGTTTGCCTTCTCATAATATAACTGTGTTTGATGTTCCCTTAACAGACTAAACAATTACTCTTCCTATCTCAAAGTAGCAGACCTCACGTGCACCCCCCTCCACAGGGTTGGAAGTTGTAATTACAGCTGATGAGTTTACATAGGTAGATTCCATTATAAAGGCAGATATTGCAATCCTTCAAAGAGAGAAAAGTAGGGACTTCACAATCTGGATATAACTAGAGCTTGGGCTGATTGTCCTCTGTCTAGTGATTCCAGTTTGACCTGATGACAACCCTTGGTCGTGACTCCTTCAGGGAATCGCTGAACAAATGCTTCTGTGTAATGCATCCCATTTTCTGAAAATAATGCTCACTCCTAATGAACAGTTCACTTAAATATCGATTGATTGAAGTGAAGAACATGGAGAAACATGTTCTATGTTTGTACATGTTGCTTTCCTTTTCATTTTATTCCTCCCTATGACATAGAAATATAGAAAATTGGAGCAGGAGTAGGCCATTTGGCCCTTCATTTCTGCTCTGCCATTCAATATGATTATGGCTGATCATTCAACTCAGTCCCCTGTTCCTGCTTTCTCCCCATACCTTTTGATTCCTTTAGCCCTAGGAAGTATTGACATGGGTGTGACTGGCAAGGTTGGCATTTATGACCTATCCCTAGTTGCTCACGAGATGATAGAATTGAGTTTTCTTCTTGAAACACTGACAGTAGTTTTATCCATCATAGTTCATTAGGCTACTTCAAAGGTCAGTTAGGAGTCAGTCTTGGTGGTTGAGGATTGGAGTCACATGTAGGCCATACTGGGCAAGATTGGCAGGTTGCCTTCCCTAAAGAACATTCATGAACCAGGTGAGATTTTACAAAGCTTCTTAATTACTTCTCAAACAGCCATGATGTGATTCAAACTCCTAAATACATCAGAATTAGGAACAGGAATAGGCTGTGTGGCCCATCAAGCCTGTTCAAGCCAGTCAATAAGATCATGAATGATTGGTGGAGCCTCAACTCCAGCTTCCTGCCTGTTCCCCCAACAGTGACACCTGTCAGTTCAATCTAACTCAGCCTTGAACATAATCAAAAATCCAGTCTCTGTTGCTCGCTGGGGCAGAGAATTCCCCAGGCGAAGGACTGTCTAGGAGAAGGCATTCTTCATCATCTGAATCTTAAACAGACAATTCTTTACTTTGAAACCATGCCTTCTATTTACAGGTTCTATCACGAGGGGAAATATCCTCTCAGCATCTATCCTATCAAGCGTCCTCAGGTCTTACATGTTTCAATAAGATTCTGGGAAGCCCTGAAGATCAGAGAGACTTAGGTATGCATGTCCAGCAGTCCCTTAACGTAGCGGGACAGGTAGATAATGTGGTGAAGGAGGCATATTGGATACTTGCCTTTATTAGCAGCAGAGTGGTTATGCTGGAGCTGTATAAAAATGTTGGTTAGGCCAAAGTTAGAATAATGTGTGCAGTTCTGGAATCCACATCATAGGAGGGCTGTGATAGCACTGGAAAGGGTGCAGAGGAGATTTACCAGGATGTTGTCTTGGCTGGAGTTTTTCAGTTACGAAGAGAGATTGGTCAGACTGGGCTTGTTTTCGTTGGAACGGAGGTGATTGAGAGGGGACCATGACTGAGATGCATAAAATTATGAGGGGAATAGATAGGGTAGACAGGAATAAACATTTCCCCTTGATGAGGGGGATCAATGACCAGGTGGCATAGAATTAAGATAAGGGGCAGAAGGTTTAGAGGAAATGTGAGGAAAATCTTTTCACCCAGAATTGGTGGGAATCTGGGAATCACTGCCTGTAAGGGGGGTACAGGCAGAAACCCTCATAACATTGAAGAAGTATTTGGATGTACACTTATGATGCCAAGACATTCAAGGCTATGGGCCGAGTACTGGAAAATAGGATTAGAACAGTTCAGTGGGGTTGTTTTTGACTGGCATGGATGTGATGGGCTGCAAGGCATTTTTCTGCACTGTACACCTCTATGACTCTATTTCTCATTCTTCTAAACTTCACAGAGGACCATCCATACCTGTTCAACTGGTCCTCATGAGAAGTCCCCTTCACCTCGGGAAATAGCCGAGTGAGCCTTCTCTGAACTGCTCCCGATGCAAGCCTGTCCCTGCTTAAGTGAGGCCAAAACTATACACAGTTCCGAGAAGTAGTCTTTTACAGTGGTAGCAAGACTTCCCTACTTGTGCATTCCATCCAACTTGGAGATGGTGGGCGTAGTGACACTGTCACCAGGCTGGTAATTCAGAGGGCCAAAATAATGCTCTGGGGACATGGATTTAGATCTCAACAGAGGAGCAGAATTTTTGTTCACTTAGCTAGTCTCACTAATTTTGATCACAAACCAATGATCAATTGCCATAAACACCTGTCTGGTTCACTCATGTCTTTTAGGGAAGAGAATCCGTCATCCTTAGCTGGGCAATTAGGGATGAGCAAAAATGCTGACATGCCCATATCCCAAGAAAAGGAAAACACAATTCAACATGGTAGAAATTCCATTTTTCCACTGGTCTCTATTTGAAGTTGAATTTCTCTGCTCTACTCACGCCTTGTCAGTTCCGTAGCTCCTGTAATCCACTGCTGCGGAGATGCCAACCACAAGAGCAGGGAAGCAGTAACCACATAGGTAATAGTACTTCTTCCTGGAGTACTCGCTCTCAAAGACCTCGACCAGCATGAGGTAGAGATGGACACCTTCCAGACACATCCAGGAGAAGGCCGCCAAGAAGAAGAAGTGAAGGAAGCCAGCAATTACTGGGCACACGATCTGCAAAAGAGACATAAAGTAAGTGGTATCAGTGAATGGGAGAGGGCCAGGGCCTAGGGCCTGATACTGGGATTAAGATTGAGTTTATGGCTGGAATTTGAGATGTGGGCAAGGTCATTGGCTGGGATTGTGAATTGGGTGTTGGGACGTAGGTTGGAATTGGGGTTTGTGACTGGGCTTGAGGCTGGTTTTGGGTTTGGGACTGTTGCTGAGATTTAGACATTGGGCCTGGGCCTATGGCTGGGATTTGGAAAATGGGACAGGGCTGTGGCTGGGATATGGGATTGGGACTGGTTCTGTGTTTGGGTTTGTGGCTGAGCCTGCTTTCGGGATTGGGTTTGAGGCTGGGCCTATGGTTAGGATTGGGGTTTGTGACTGAGCCAATGGCTGGAAATTAGGAAATGAGACTGAACCTGTGGTTGGGATTGGAGATCGAAACTGGGGCTGCGGGTGAGATATGGCCTGTGGCTGGGATTGGATTTAGGACTGGGGCTATGGCTGGAATTAGGGACTGGGACTGGGGCTGTGGCTGGGATATGGGATTTGGGGAATGGGACTGGGCCATTGCCTGGACTGGGGATTGGGAAAGGACATGTGGCTGGAACTAGGACTGGGTTTGCCGCTGGGATGAGGGACTGAGCCAGTACTGGGATTTGATGATTGGGATTGGGTTCAAAATGGGGATTGAGTTTGGGTTTGGGGGTTGGGATTATGAGGGGCCTAGCTCAGACTTAAACCTGGGGCTGGCCCCAAGACCAGGGTTGAACTGGAACTGACCTGGGACTCGTGCTGACCTTCCAGTGTAACCAGATATCTATCACACTGCAAACTGTGAACAGCAACAAAAAAATGTCATAAATACTACATTCACTTCCATTCTGGTCAGTTCTGAGATGTTGGTCATGAGTGAGGGCAGTTTTGCCCTGCAAGGCTTGTGTAGTGGATTGAAATGATTCAAATCCATTTAAAATGAGACCAGTTGAGAACTGATCCTAAATCTTACCAATTCTGAGTCCCACAGAAAGTAACTAGTGCTCTCAATATGGTGTGATAGACACATCTGAACAACTGGCTAGGTCAGCTACTTTGGTCTTCAAGAAGAATACACAATTTGATCAGTTAACCCAGCCCAAAATGCCTTGGAGATTAAAAAAACGGGAGGCTATCTTATTGAAACACATACAATTCTGAAGGTGATGAACATGGTTAGTCAATGAGAGGTTGCTTTCCCCCAGGCTGGGGAGTTGAGACCACGGGGACACAATTTCAGGAGCAAGTTGGCAGGGAAGGGTGATCATTTAAGATTGAGAGGAGGAGAATTTGTTTTTGCCACTCAGCAGTTCATTCCGAAGCCTTGGAATTATCTACCACACAGGCTTCCAGAAGTTCAGCCACTGTTTATATTCAAGGGAGAGATTTTGGGATATTAAGGGCACGTAGAGATAATGCAGGAATTTCAGATTGCCAACTCTCCAGGATGGCCCAGAATTTCTGGGAATTATAGATCACTCTCCAGGATCCTGCTGTGTGGAGAAAAATGAAAAAGATCTTTTTTTTATAATTTACTTTGAAGGTTTATTTTTACCAGATTTTAAAATATTGATAATAGGATTGAAAAACAATGCCCATTTGGACGAATGTCAAGCATCGTCCAATGAGGCCTCTCTTTTTTGGTTGGCCAGGGAAGGATAACGAATTACTAGGATGGGGTTGTTGGCCAATGATAGGCCAGAGTGTATGAAACCCCCAGGAGTGTATTATAATCCTCACAGTTGTTAAGCCTTGGGAGATCAAGTTACAGAATCTTCCATGATTGGATGCAGGCTCAAAAGGACTCAATGATTTTCACTTGCTCCAATCTCTGGGAACTGGATATGGACCAAGAAAGAACTAGCCTGCAGTATACAGTGTGAAGTTTCAGAGTGTGTGTCGAATCTCTAGGTACTCCACATCACACCACAGCTCAGTACTCAGTGATTGTAGCCCTCAGTTCGCTCTGCAGTTCATTTATTCTCTGCCAAGTTATGAAATGGAATTCAATAGATCTGTTAACATAGGCTGATATCTGAAAATGATCATAAAATGGACTGGGTTACTGCAAACACTTGACCCAGCCATTAATACCCCTCAGGGAGTAGAGTTTGCTCTCCCTCCCTTTATCAGGCCTAAGTGTGTCTTCAGTCCCAAAGAACAAACAACAAAGAAAATTACAGCACAGGAACAGGCCCTTCGGCCCTCCAAGCCTGCGCCGATCCAGATCCTCTATCTAAACCTGTCGCCTATTTTCCAAGGATCTGTATCCCTCTGCTCCCTGCCCATTCATGTATCTGTCTAGATACATCTTATATGACGCTATTGTGCCTGCCTTTACCACCTCTGCTGGCAACGTGTTCCAGGCACCCACCACCCTCTGCGTAAAGAACTTTCCACACATATTTCCCTTCAACTTTTCCCCTCTCACCTTGAAATTGTGACCCCTAGTAATTGAGTCCCCCACTCTGGGAAAAAGCTTCTTGCTATCCACCATGTCTATACCTCTCATGATTTTGTAGACCTCAATCAGGTTCCCCCTCAGCCTCCGTCTTTCTAATGTAAATAATCGTAATCTACTCAACCTCTCTTCATAGCTAGCGCCCTCCATACCAGTCAACATCCTGGTGAACCTCCTCTGCACCCTCTCCAAAGCATCCACATCCTTTTGGTAATGTGGCGACCAGAACTGTACGCAGTATTCCAAATGTGGTCGAGCCAAAGTCCTATACAACTGGAACATGACCTGCCAACTCTTGTACTCAATACCCCGTCCGATGAATGAAAGCATGCCAAATGCCTTCTTGACCACTCTATCAACCTGCGTTGCCACCTTCAGGGTACAATGGACCTGAACACCCAGATCTCACTGTGCATCAATTTTCCCCAGGGCTTTTCCATTTACCATATAGTTCGCTCTTGAATTGGATCTTCCAAAATGAATCACCTCGCATTTGCCTGGATTGAACTCCATCTGCCATTTCTCTGCCCAACTCTCCAATCTATCTATATTCTGCTGCATCCTCCGACAGTCCCCTTCACTATCTGCTACTCCACCAATCTTAACATGATCTGCAAACTTGCTAATCAGACCATCTATATCATCCTCCAGATCATTTATGTATATCACAAACAACAGTGGTCCCAACACAGATCCCTGTGGAACACCACTGGTCACAATTCTCCATTTTGAGAAACTCCCTTCCACTACAACTCTCTGTCTCCTGTTGCCCAGCCAGTTCTCTATCCATCTAGCTAGTACACCCTGGACCCCATGCGACTTCACTTTCTCCATCAGCCTACCATGGGGAACCTTATCAAACGCCTTACTGAAGTCCATGTATATGACATCTAAAGCCCTTCCCTCATCTATCAACTTTGTCACTTCCTCAAAGAATTCTATCAAGTTGGTAAGACATGACCTTCCCTGCACAAAACCATGCTGCCTATCACTAATAAGCCCATTTTCTTCCAAATGTAAATAGATTCTATCCCTCAGTATCTTCTCCAGCAGCTTCCCCACCACTGACGTCAGGCTCACCAGTCTATAATTACCTGGATTATCCTTCTTAAACAAGGGGATAACATTAGCAATAGATTAGCATTAGTCCCATGTGATGTAGTGGACTCTCAGGGAATTAAATACACGAAAACATAATTTTGAAAACTGTGTGGTGGTCTACTTGGTTAGGCAATGTGTAGTATAAGTCACCTTATGCTTGAATGACAGGTTAGTATGCAGGTACAGCAAGTAATCAGGAGAGCTCATAAAATTTAATGTTATACTGCGCAGAAAATTGAATGCAAGAGTAGGGAGATTATGCTTCAGTTACATAGGGCATAGGTGAGACTGCATCTGGAGCAATGTGTACAGTTCCAGTCACTGTATGCACAGAAGGATGTTAGTGTGTTAGAAGTTCAGAGAGGGTTTACTAGACTAATACCTGGAATGAGTGGATTGCCTTGTGAGGGAATAGATAGGCTCGGCCTGTATCCTCCGGAGTTTAGAAGACTCGGAGGTGACTTAATTGAAACAGGTAAGATCCTGAGGGGAGTTGACTGGGTCGATGTGGAAAGGATGTTTCCTCTCGTAGGAGAATTTAGAACTGGGGGTCATGGTTTAAAAATAAGAGGGCACCCATTTAAAAGAGACATGAGAAAACACTTCTTCTCTCCCACAGGATTGAGTGTTTGGAATTTCCTTCTTCAAAAGGCAGCAGATGCAGGGTCTTCAAATATTTTGAAGGCAGAGATAGATTCTTGATGACCAAGGGGATGAAAGCTTATCAGGGATGCAGGCATGTAGAGTTGAGGTTAAAATCAAATCAGCCACAATCACATTGGATGGTGGAGCATAGTTTGTGTAGTTCCTGCACTGGTTTCTCGGCCCAACCCTTGAAGTGACGGGTATAACATGAATACACAATTTTAAGAACAAACACTGTTTAGTGCAGCCCAACTTTCTGTATCGGTTTTTAAAAAACTTCGGCCCTTTCCGAATGTGCAAAATCCCAACACCCCATCCCCTGATACTTAAATAGGCAAAAGGAGGTGGGCTTGGGTTGGGATCTGGAGTGCACAATCTGAGAATGGGCTGGAGGTAGATCCAATCGAAGAGGAAGTTGGATAGTTATTTGTAGAGACAGAGAGAGAGAGAGAGAGAGAGAGAGCGAGAGATGGTGGCGGTGGGGAGAGAGAGAGAGAGAGAGAAATTGCAGGACCATGGACATAACAAGGCAGGGGAGGGGAAACTCGGTGAGCTGTTCTTTCAGAGAGCAAGGATTGAGGCAACAGGCCGACCAGCCTCTTTCAGCATTGTAGCCAATCTCTAAGATGGAATATCCATCTCTAATCATGAACTAAGATTCTAAAACATTTTCAATTTTTAATGAAGGATCTAGACAGCCCTCCAATATTGAAATGAGCCTGAAGAATGATCACGTCAGTGGCACACCCCCCACAGTGGAATCTCTCCAGAGAAAAAGTTGGATTCTTCTGATGTTGGAGCTACGTTTTGAAAGCATCCCCCTGACCCGCGCCCATGTAGAATTTATAACCTATGCACTGAATCTGTCTCTGGTAGATCCAGGCTTCTACAGTAAAATGCAATTCAAGTATTCTTAGGATAGACAGCTGTAGTGAGTAACTTGTCAAGGTTAGTTTGATGCATCCTCCAGATCGATTGCAAGTTGAACATTTAGACGCGAGAACTCTTGATCTATCTGAATGGTGACAAGGCCTATTTGTTGGCAGCTTTTGCAAATTGACCACCCCCAGCCTGACATTTCTGCAGAACAAAGGGAGCTTCCATCAAAGGTGTCAGAGGCACAGATGGCTGATGTTATTTTTAATACTGAGTTACCACGTTTAAAATCATATCAAAGCAAAAGATTGTCATTGTTTTGCCGCAGATTTATTGCTGTAAGCAACGACGTGTGAAAGCAACAGATTCCTGTGCATTTACTGAGCTTAGCAACAGACAGATTTGACAAGACACATCAGCAACCTCGGTCAGTACTGCTCAACCCCAGGGAGCCAGTTTATGAAGGATGCAACTGGAGCCAATCTTTACTCACTCTTACACTTATTTACAGAGTGAAATGTGACAAGCGTACGCCTCCCAACTCAAGCACCTCATAGTTTCAGTAAGCATCTCTTCATCTGAGTTTAAGTAAAATGCCAATTAATATCCTGTATATACACATAATTAAACACATTTGATATACAACTAATGGTGGCCGGGCCAGGCAAAGTGTCTGATATGATAATCTGTAATCATCAAAACGGTCAAAGCTTTGCTGCTGAGTGCTGTAATGCCTCTAAGTTTGGATTTGTGAGGGGAAACTCATGACGTTTATGTTGATGCCACAGAAAACTGGAAGTTCATCACTACAACCAGTTGGCAATGACCTTCCGTGACTTTAAAGATTGATTTTAACAAACCTAGGCCCAATTAAATTGGTTTTGAGTGCTAAAAGTTGTGAGGAGGTGGGACATTAGGGGTACTGGAAAGTCTTCGTTAGACCCCACTTAGACATGTTGTAGTTATTTATGAATTTACGTAGAAACGTAGAAGATGGGAGCAGGAGGAGGCGATTCGGCCCATTCGAGCCTGCTCTGCTATTCTTCATGATAATGGCTCACTGTCCAACTCAATAGCCTAATCCTGCTGTCTCCCCAACACCTTTGGTCCCATTTGCCCCACGTAGTCGCCTCATGAATACATTCAATGTTTTGGCATCAACTACTTCCTGTGGTAATGAATTCCACAGGTACACCACTCTTTGGGTGAAGAAATGTCTCCTCATCTCTGTCCTAAATCGTCTACCTCGAATCCTCATACTGTGAGCCCTGGTTCTGGACATATTCACTATCGGGAACATCCTCCCTGCATCGACCCTGTACAGTCCTATTTCGCAACAGAAGGGATTCCAAATAAATATTTGGCATCTCAAAGGAGGAGTTCAAACTTCAGAGGTTCCTTCCTGTTTGCCTTGACCTGTATCCAACAAGAGAATCTAACTATCTCCCGTTATTGGTAAACGCCACTACTACCACTGAAACCCCCACTATCCACATCTTAGTGGTTGATGTTAACCGTTAACTGAACAGCCAGAAAATACAGCAGCCTTTTAAAACATTCATTCATGTGACAAGGGTGTTTCTGGCTGGGCCAGCATTTATTGCCCATCCCTAATTTCCCTGAGAAGATGGTGGTGACTTACCAGAGCAGGAAAGATGCTGAAAAAACTGCAGCGAAAAACTCACTTCCTGACTCTCCAAAGCGTGTCCACAAATATACAAGCCACAAGTCAGGAGCATGATGGAATACTTAACACTTGCCTGGATGGGTGGAGCTCTAACAACACTAAAGAAACTTGACACCATTGAAGACAGGGCAGCCTGCTTTATCGGCACCACATCCACAAACATCCATTTCCTCCACCACTGACGCTTAGCAGCAGCACTGTGTACCATCTATTTGATGCACTACAGTAACCAAGGCTCCTTAAACAGCACTTTCCAAACCCATGCCCTTGGCCATGTAGAATGACAAGGGCAGCTGTGCATGGGAACACCATTGCTTGCAAGTTTTCCTTCAAGCCACTGTATTGCTGTTCTTTCACTATTGCTGGCTCAAAAATCCAAGACATTTCTCCCTAACAATACTGTGGTGTACCTACAACTTGGACTGCAGTAGTTCAAGAAGACCGCTCATCACTGCCTTCATGAGAGCCATTAGGAATAAGTAACAGATATGGACCAGCTAGCAATGCCCACATGCTGTACAAGAATAAAACAAAACCCTAACCCAAACTTTGCAAATGATCTTCGACCCTCCCTCGGGCCCTGTTAGTCACTTGTACCCTTGGAGCTTCTCCTACTCTTGCTCCCAACCCTGTTCCTGGAACTGAAGGTACCCACCTGATATTGAGTTTTGTTGATACCGATGAGGAAGATGAGTTCTGCGATGAAGAGGTTGATGCAGAGGTTCTTGTGAATGGTGTTGCGGTCTGTCTGAATCCCTCGAAGGAAGCAAAATGTGGAGATACAGATGGTGAGGCAGACGAGGGAGATGACGATGCCCACCCAGGTGATAACAGATAGTAGCAACCTGTGCATGCGGTCTTCATACTAAGGGGAGAAAAGGGAACTCAGTGAAATGAGTCAACATGGCCACAAAGGAGACACTTAGTAACAAGCATGGCCCATGGAAACACCAAAAGTAATACAGGACCTGGACATGTTGAGTCAATCCAGGCCTTTTTTCTACCCCAAGTGCCTAAAACAACCCTTCCCTTCAGCAATACACTGGGTGAGAGGCTTTACAAGAATCTGATCCAAACTAAGCCTCTCGTTCCCCCAACCCAGACTTGCCTGGTCCCTCTGGCTCAGTACCATGGTACCTGGCACCTTTAGCTTCTGGGCTAGTCAGTGCCCTTCAGGCATTCCTGTTACTTCTCAAGTACTGTGCCTGTGTCATGTTGGCTCAGTACCACACTACCTGGCACATTAGGGCTCACCAGTTTAGAAGGACGAATGGGAGCCTGATTGAAATGTATACATTTTTGAAGGACTGGACAGACGAGATGGAGGAAGGATGTTTCCCTGTTTGGGGAGTCTAGAACCAAGGTTCGCAGTCTCAGAATGCAAGATGGACATTTTGGACTGAGATGAGGAAACAATCCTTCACTCAGAGGGTGGTCAACCTGTGGAATTCTCTACCACAGAAGGCTGTGGAGGCCAGGTCACTGAGTATATTCAAGAAAGAGACAACATATTTTTAGATTTTAAAGGCATTAAGTATGGGGAGAAAGTGAAAATATTGCTTGAAATAGAGGATCACACATGATCACATTAAATAGCAGGGCAGGCTTGAGGGGCCAATTTCTGCTCCTAGTTTCTGTACACTTTTACATGCAAATAGTAGCCCAGAACAATGGGTAGTGACTTGAACCTGGAGCCTTTGGCTCAGAGGCAGGGATACTACTCACAAGGCCTCCTTCTGTCCATTTAAACCTGACATAACTTTGTGAAAAATAATGAAGGGGCATAGAAAATGACATATTAATTTCCAAATTTATAGAGTCATAGATTCACACAGCATGAAAACAGAACCTTCGTTCTAAGCATGCTCCCAAACTGATCTAGTCCTACCTGCTCGCATTTGGCCCATATCCCTCCAATCCTTTCCTATTCATGTACTTATCCAAATGTCTTTTAAATGTTGTAACTGTACCCACATCCACCACTTTGTCTGGCAGTTCATTCCACCACAAACCACCTCCTGTTTATAAAAGTTGCCTATGCCCTTTTTAAATCTTTCTTCTCTCACCTTAAAAATATGCCCCCTAGTTTTGAATTCCCCCACCTTATTTCGTAACTTATTTTATTTCAAGTTGACTACTTAGAGTGAAACTGTACCTCCTGGTTCTAGATTTCCTCATGAGAGGAAACAGTCTCTCAGCATGTGTTCTGCCTGCATTAGGGCTAACCTGCCAAGGTCTGTCTGAATCTTTGACATTTTAATAAGATCACTTCTCATTCTTCTGAACTCCAATAAATATAGGCCCAACCTGCTCAAACTTTCCTTTTATAAAAGTTCCTTTATCATGGGAATTAATCTTCTTTGAACGGCTTCCAGTGACCGAAACCGTACACAAAACTATGAGGGATAATATGGCAGAGGCCATGAGTTCAAACCTTGACATGACATGTTGTGACGTTGAATGCAATAAATCTGAGGATTTGAGAGACAGTACCAAGAGTGTTAACTGCTCAATTGCCAGAAAAACCCAACTGGTTCGTTCATGCCCTTTGACCCTACCATTTTTATCTGGGCTGACATTCCGTGCAGTTGGCTCTCAAAGCCTCTGAAACTGCTCAGAATGGAAAGTTGCCCATTCCGCACAAACCACACACAAGTGTGAATTGTGTCGCTGGATCAAGTTCCTGGAACTTCCTCTCTGACAGCATTGTGGGTCCTACCTACACTCTATGGAGTACAGACGTTCAAGCGAAGTTTGCCACCAACTTCTCCAGGGCAATTAGGGACAGGCAATAAGTGCTGGTCCAGCCAGTGACACCTGCATTGATGGTGAAACGATGACATGTAAAGGGAATGTTCATAATGTCACAGAGCCACTTACCAAAATCTCCTTGTGAGCCATCAGCACTGCAAAATTGGTAAGGTGGCTACAGGCACAGGCTGTGTGAGTTCTGTTACTTTCTATCAGACGACAACCTTGTGTTGACCAAAACCCCATCATGGTTCGTTCCGAGTAATTCCAGAATGAGCAGTTTGCATTGAAGTGGTTTTTCGACTGAAAGAGAAAAAATATCAAACGAATGCTGGGCGATACGAAGAAAATGCAAAACATTTCAGTGTCCGTCAAAGCCTTCTCCATTTACTCCATCCAGAGTCCCATTGCTGTTCCCTCTTCTTATTCATTCCATCCCATAGAATTCCAGGGGTTCTTACCCCTTCTTATTCACTCCAATATAATTTCATAGGCAGTCTCCTCTTTCCATTCACTCCATACTATAGAATATCATCGGATGTTCCCCTCCCTATTCACTCCATCCTACAGAATCCCATAGGCTGTTCCACTTCCAGTGGTGGTAGGTCTGGGTAGGATGCTCTTCACAGGGAGGTGTGGACTTGATGGATCAAATGTCCTGCTTGCACACTAGGGATTCTATAATTCTTTCCACTCCATGCTGCAGAATTCCATAGCTTGCCATCCCTACCCATTCACTCCACCCTACAGAGTACCATTGGCTTTCACACCCTTCCCAATCAGTATATCATATAGATTCTCGGCCTCAAACATCCTTGTTATTCGCTGCCAGTGTCAGTATTTGTGGAAAATGTGCACATTGTGCATGTAGTCAACAAGGACTTATATTCAGCTAGCACCTTTGACATAAAGAGATATCGCAAGATACTTCATGGAAGCATTATAAACAAAGTATGATGCTAACTGTGTAAGGGGAGATTAGGTCAGAAGACCAGAAGCTTGGTCAAAGTGCTTGGCTTTAAGAAGCGCCTGAAACGAGGAAAGCAGTGTGCAGTGTAGAGAACAGGTGTGTGTGTGTCTGTGTCTTTCTGTGCGTGTGTGTGTGTGTGTTTGGAGGGGGGTGGGGGGGCTGTGGGAGAGAGGTAAGGAAGGAACGCCAGAGTTAGGGGCCTCAGGAAATTGAAGGTCCATAGTGTCTAGTGATGGAGAGATTATGATTGGGATACAAAGGGACCAAAATTAGAGAACAGCAGATACCCTAGGGGGCTGTAAGAGACTATGAAGGTGTCAAGGATTGGGATGATTTTGATAATGAGTTTCAAAATTAAACTTGCTGGGTTGTGAGTTAACACAGGTCAGTGGGGACAGAGGTGTGAGGCGAGTGTATTTCCTGCGAGTTAAGACATGGTGACAGGGTCATGATGGCCTCAAAGTCTGTGGAGGGTAGAATGTTGGAGACTAGCCAGGAGTGTGTTGGAATGATTGAGTCAAAAGACAACAGAGTCTTCAATGAAGATTTCAGCAGCAGATGAGCTGAGTCAGGGGTGAAGTTGGAGGATGACAAGAAGTTGGAAATAATCTGATTGACAATGGTGTGACTATGAGGTTGGAAATTCATCTCAGGATCAAACGTGGCACCAAGCTAGATAAGCATGGTAGCATAGCTGACATGGGAAAGTCCCAATAGTTGGGAGTTGAGTGACCAGTTAAATTGCTTTAAGGCTATGTTCCCTCTAAATTTGTTTTTTCCTGCAGGGACCGCTGAGGTCTGTGCATGGCACTGACTTCTGAAAAGCAGAAGTTGATGCTAGGTGCACAGACCCTCAGAGTGGTTGTGCAATTTAGTGGAGACGCTGGTTGAAGGATGGATATTGGTCTTGAACTCTCCTTCAAATGGCATTCATGAGATCTTTTGCAATTACCTGAACGGGGTAGAGGAGGGCCTCAGCTTATCAGAGCAGAGCACGAAACCTCCAACCATGCAGTGCTCCCTCTGAATGGCACTGATCTGATCATTGAAACAAAGGCTGCAGTAAGGCTTGAACACACAACTTTCTGCTTCAATGGTATGAGTGCTATGAGTTGAGCTAAAGTAAAATCCCAGAAACTTTTGGAAAAATGAATGCTTGTGAGGGGTGAGGACTTCCATTATATTGTACCTGCTGGGAAATGTTAGAGTGCAAAACAGATTGACTGGGCAATATGTGATTCAATTAGATTCACGTACATCATGATGGTGTAACTGATGATATGGCTCTGACATCCATAAGACAGAAGATGCCCACCTAAAATGAACAAGTGAAGATAGAGGTCTTAGACACTGCACTAGAGGGCTGTATGTGAGAGCCTACAGTATATGGATATAAATATGGGTGTTACAGTCCATAAGGAGTTGAAGGGCCAAACTCAGTGAGAAGGGTGGGCAGCCTCAGGGACAGGTTGTTGACTTGCTCGCCGAGCTGGCTTGTTTTTGTTTAGACGTTTCATCACCATGCTAGGTAACATCATCGGTGAGGTCTCCGATGAAGCGATGTTGTTCTACTCCACTTGGAATTTATACTGTCTGGTCCATTATGGTGAGTAGTGTCATTTCCAGTTTTATTCTGTATGGGTTTGTATATGGGGTCTAATTCTATATGTTTGTTGATTGCATTATGGGTTGAGAACCATGCCTCAAGGAATTCCCGTGCGTGTTTGGGTGAGCTACTATGGTTACGTTGTCCCAGTTAAACTGATGGCCTTCATTGTCCAAGTGTACTGATATTACGGAAAGTTCGTCACGTTGTTTTGCTACTAGCTGATGTTCATGTATTCTGATGGCTAGTTTCCTTCCTGTCTGTCCGATGTAATGCTTGTGGGAGTCGTTGCATTGTATTTTGTAAACTGCGTTGGTGCTGCACGTTGTGGGAATGGGGTCTTTATTCCTTGCGAGTGTTTGTCGTAGCGTGGCTGTGGGCTTGTGGGCCACCATGATTCCTAGTGGTCAAAGGAGTCTTGCTGTCAGTTCTGATATGTTCTTGATGTAGGGCAGTGTGGCCAATGTGTCAGGGCATACTGTGTCCTATTGTTGTTGTCTATTTAGTAGGCACCTGCAAATGAAGTTTTGGGGATATCTGTTCATAACAAAGATTTTGTACAGATGCTCTTCCTCTTTCCTGCGTAGTTCTGGCATGTTGCAGTCAGTGCTGGCCCGTTTAAATAGTGTCCTAACACAGCTTTGTTTGTGAGCTATAACTGAACTATAACCATAAAGATGCAAACAAAACAGACTTTGTGGCCGCCCTGGAAACTACATTAAAAATCAACAGACTCAAGGACGAAACACAAAAAGCCATCCGACAAACTATAATCCCCACACTAAGCCAAAGGAATGAATAGGTCACCCTGAACACATCAGAGAGAAAAGCACTAGAAAAACTCAAGAAAGACAAGAACATTATAATCCTACCAGTGAACAAAAGGCACATCACCGGCATTATTAACAAACCTGTTGAGAAAGCACAGGCACTGCTTGCAGATACAAACACTTACCAACAGGTGGCGATAGACCCAACAGCGCAGCTAGGTCATAAGATCACCCAAACACTGAAGATGCTGAAGGATACAGGACAGGTAACCAAGACAGGCTACATGAGAATGAAACCAGAAGGCATGAACACCGTGCTCCCCCCTCCAGCCCAACTTCTACGGACTTCCTAAAGTACACAAACCAGACATGCCCTTCAGACCCATTGTCTCCCTACTATGCACACCTTCACACAAACTGGCCAAGGACCTACAACAGAGACTGAAACACCTAGTCAACGGATCATGCCATTCCATCCACTCAACCCTAGAATTCCTCAATACCCTTAAGAACATAAAAATCAGCGACGATGAGATTACAGTATCTTTTGATGTCACAGCATTATTCATGTCAATTGACAACCCACTAGCCAAAGAAACACTGGCCACATCGCTAGAGGAAACTGGAATGCAGACCAGCAGCTCCATCAGCAATGGCAACATACTCAAACTACTAGACTTGTGTCTCACCACACTTCGTCTTTAATGGTCGAGTACGCAAACAGATCAATGGCACACCCATGGGGTCACCCATTTCAGGACTCATTGCAGAGGCAGTCAAGCAAAGACTAGAATACACTACCCTCTCCCTTATTCAACCTAAACTGTGGATCCTGTACATGGAGACACATTTGACATCATTAAACGCACCCAACTAGAAGAGACCCACTACTTCATCAACAACGTATTCATCAGGATTAAATTCATGGAGAAGCAGAGAACAACAATTAGCTTCCGTTTCTGGATGTCAGGGTTGAACATATGACCAACGGAGAGTTCCAAACCTCGATATACAGGAAAGCAACCACCCCAACGTCCACAAACAAACCTGTGGTAGGACACTATTTAAACACTATTTAAACCACTCAGTGCAACATGCCAGAACTACCCAGGAAAGAGGAAGAGTGCCTATACAAAATCTTTGCTATGAACGGATATCCCCATAACTTCATCCAAATGTGCCTACTAAATAGACAACAAGAAGAGGACACAGTATGCCCTAACACACTGGCCACACTGCCCTACATCAAGAACATATCAGAACTGACAACGAGACTCCTACGACCACTAGGGATCATGGTAGCCCACAAGACCTCGGCCACATTATGACAAACGCTCACAAGGATTAAAGACCCTATTCCCACAACATGCAGAACCAATGTAGTTTACAAAATACCATGCAGCGACTGCCACAAGCATTACATTGGACTGACAGGAAGGAAACTAGTCATCATGAACACCAACTAGCAGCAAAACGACACACAAACTTTCCCTAATATCAGCACATTCGGACAATGAAGGCCATCAGTTTAACCGGGACAACGTGACCATAGTAGCCCACTCAAACAGACACACACAGGAATTCCTAGAGGCATGGTTCTCAACCCATAATGCAATCAACAAACATACAGAATTGGACCCCATATACAAACCCATGCAGAACAAAACTGGAAACGACACAACTCACCATAACAGACCGGACAGTATAAATTCCAAGTGGAGTAGAACAACATCGCTTCATCGGAGGCCTCACTGATGATGTTACCTAGCATGGTGATGAAACGTCTGAACCAAAACAAGCTAGCTTGGCGAGCAAGTCAACAACCTCACCCACAACCCGAGCTACAAATCTTTGCAAAAACCCTAAGCCTCAGGGACAGTGTATGTACAGACACCCACAGCTCAAGATACTCCAGACCAGTATCTCAAAGTACAGGTTGCAGGATTAGCTGAAAGCACGAGATAATGTAGAAAGTATCTTGGCTAATGCATTGATTCAGAACAAGGTACCAATAGGTCAGTGCAAGTGTTATCTTGTAAACCAGACAGGGCATAGATTGGAATGCAGGAAGGAAAAAGTTTACATTTTCTTTATTGATTCATGGGATGAGGGTGTCACTGACTAGGCAGCATTTATTGCCCATCCCTAATTGCCCAGAGGGCAGTTCAGAGTCAACCACTTCGCTGTGGATCTGGAGTCACATGTAGGCCAGACCAGGTAAGGATGGCAGTTTCCTTCCTGAAAGAACATTAGTGAACCAGATGGGTTTTTCCTTGAAAATCAGCAATGAGTTTGTGGTTGTCATTAAATTCTTAATTCCAGATATTTTATTAAATTCAAATTCCACCATCTGCCATGGCAGGATTCAAACATGGTTCCCCAGAAGGTTATCTGGGTCTCTAGATTAACAGTCCATGGATAATACCACTGGGCCATTGCCCCCCCTATTGACAGAGTGTGTTTCATTCATTCATGAGATGTGGGCATCACTGGCTGAGGTAGCATTTATTGCCTGTCCCTAACTCCCCTTGAGAAGGTAATGGTGAGCTGTGTTCTTGAATTGCTGCAGTTCAGTTAGTGTAGGGACACCTCCAGTGCTATTTGGCAGTGGGAAGAGTTCCAGGATTTTGACCCAGAGATACTGAAGAAACTCACTTCACCAGCGATGCACAGTAGTGGCAGAATGTATCATGTACAAGATGCACTGCAGAAATTCATCAAAGCTCCTTTCACCTTCAAAACGCACGATCATTACCACATAGAGAAGGAATCATATACATGGGATCGCCATGATCGGCAAGTTCCCCTCCAAGCCTCACACCATCCTGACTTGGAAATATATCACAGTTCCTTCAGTATCACTGGGAATGGTCTGTAGTGGTTTAAGAAGGGAGGTCTGGACTACCTCATGAAGTGGCAATTTGGGAATAAACACAGGAACACAGAAACTAGAAGCAGTAATAGGCCAATTGGGCCCTTTCAGCCTGTTCCGCCAATTAATATGATCATGGCTGATCATCCAACTCAGTAACCTGTTCCCATTTTCTCCCCATATCCTTTGATCCCTTTAGCCTTGAGAACTATATCTAACGCCTTCTTGAAAACATACAATGTTTTGGCCTCAACTGCTTTCTGTTGCTGTGAATTCCACGGCTCACTGTTCTCTGGGTGAAGAAATGTCTCTTCATCTCAGTCCTAAAAAGCTGTCCCATATTTTTATATGACTATAAATGCTGGTCTTGTCAGTGACACCCACATCCTGACAGAGGATACTGAAGAAATCTGGTGGAGTATATGGGCGGCTGACACAAGTACCAGTGTCTTCCTAACTGCTCTAGTCTGTCCCCTGGTGATCGTCCAGGATACCTACATCGAGGTGCTGCAGGGTGAAGATCACTGGCTCAGTGAGGAAGACCCGGCTTGACTCCTTGTTGATGGAAGCAGCGATGATCTGAGAGTTGACGACGATGGAAGTGCTCTGGCTACTGACGTCTGTGCCCATTCTCACTGTGGCATTTTCTGTTGATAGAAACTGGCCCAGGTTGTTGTACAGGATTAACACCACCTTCACAACCCCTGCAGGAAACAATAGCCGGTCGCAGTGAGTCCGAGATGGTTCAATGACACTTGATAAGCTTTCACAACTGTTTGCTAAATCCCTTCTTTACCCAGTAGCTTCTCGTATGCCCCCCCAAACCATTTACTGTGCCACCCTCCTAGGGAATGTAAATGTGCTTCAGCCATGTTTTCACTCTTTGTAAAAAGTAGAACAGGCCATTCAGCCCTTCAAACTTATTCTGCCAGTTCTATCCAAAGATTAAGGTTGAGGAGGTGACCATTTTGGCCTTCTAGAATGGTGCAAGGTTTTGCTTGAGTGGATACATGGAGAATTTTTCCCTTCATGGGGGAAGGCAGGACTAGAGGCTATCACTATAAGCTGCTCATCAACAAATCCAATAGGGAGTTCGGAAATAAATGTTGCTGTCCAGAGGTTGCAGCTGCAGGGCTGTTCAAATGAACAGTCTCGATGCATGATGGACAAGCGCGAGAGGGAAATTGTCATAGAGGGCTATTTTGGCAGAATTAGATGATGACACATGGTAAGAAGTATCAATGGTACATAACACCAGCATGGACTGGTTAGGCTGAATGGCCTGTTTCTGTGTCATGTATCCCACTCAGTTAGATCCTGGCTGATCTGTCCCATGGTTCCCTTAACCTGTCACTGCACCCCACATTCCTTGATACTCATCAAAGATCTCTCTCTTTTGGTCTTGAAATCTGTCATTCGTCATCCTCCATCACTTCTCCCCACCTGCCCCCAACCCCGTCACCCGACTGTGGTCCCAACAGACTTTTTGGGGCATTTTCTACATTTCAATGGGCTTTGTATGAAGAATTCCTTTCAGACATCACTTCAGGACTGTTGTCAAGGTAATGACTTCTTGTACTGAACTGCACCCCTACTCTGGGAAATCGTTCTTCTCTGTTTGATTTATCAAATGCCTTTACAACCTTTAATGCACCAATTAGATCATTTCTCAATAACCTGTACTCGAGGTAACACACCCAAGTTTCAGCAATGGAGCCCTCTTACCCCCAGTGTCATTAGGCTGTCTACCTCTCAATTTAACTCCCTCATGGAGTTCAAGTGACAACCTGGTCTTGTGACCACCTGGTGCCAGTACTTGGGGCTGCTTCAAACTGGGACCATGCCTATTACCATGACCATTAGTTGCTAGTACCAGGTGCTGCCCATTTTCTTGACTACCCATTTTCAGAATGTGGGACTTTCTGTTACTAGGGCCAAGGACTGCTCATTGCCATGATGATCACCAACTGGGGCCAAAGATTGCTATTCACACCACTGACTGTTGTCACGACTGCACCGTCAGGATCTAGGGCTGACCATTGGCTAGAGTCTCGGTTGCTGGGGCCAACTGTTGCCAGGACCTGATACTATCCATTGCCAGTCAATGGGATCTCCTGATGCTTGGCTCCATGTTTCACTTGCTGCTCTGTGAGGGTTTGTGGTGAGAGAATTAGTGATTGCAGGTCTCAGTTCATAGCTGCTTAATCATTGTCTTTGTCTATATTGAGGACAAACAGAAAATCGAGGGTATTTTCAGGCAAATGGCAGAGACAGGATTTAATGCCCAAGCCAGAAGGATTTGAGCGTGGGCTCAGGGTGGGGTTAGGGAAAGTAAAGAGAAGGTTCTCTCAGTCTCCTTTTTTACGATTGGATAACAGTCTCAAAGTCAGATGAGTCTTTCAAAGGAGGAGAAATCCCACTTGGATAAACAGATCAAACTTGATAGTTTTTATATTCTTTTACGGGATGCGGGCTTCACTGGCAAGGCCAGCATTTATTGCCCATCACTGGCAAGGCCAGCATTTATTGCCCATCCCTCACAGCCCTGAATTGAGTGGTGTGAGGGGGATTTCAGAGGGTAATTAAAAGTCAACCACATTGCTTGTGTGATCTGGAGTCACATCTACAGGTTGTTTGGATCAGAAATTGGCTAGCTGTAAGAAGACAGAGGGTGGTGGTTGATGGGAAATGTTCATCCTGGAGTTCAGTTACTAATGGTGTACCTCAAGGATTTGTTTTGGGGCCACTGCTGTTTGTCATTTTTATAAATGACCTGGATG